TTTATGCATTAAGTACTGTTTATTAATGCATATTACTAAAAAACTTAAGATTACAAGTAAATTGTGTATGTACAACTTATTAAAGCTCCATGTATAAATTCGTGTAACTAACTGTAGATAAACATAATCAAATATAAGATAAACATCTCACTTTAAATATAAAAAATCTAAAATATAATTAGAATAATTATGAGTTCTAATAGAATCATTATCTTTATAAAAAGGGCAAAATGCACAAAATAGCAATCTATTTTCATAAATTTCTTTATTATAGCATTGTACTTTCAGTTTTTTTATTACAACAATGTACTTTTAAACTATTTTTTATAAGAACATTGTATTTTGAAAAATTTACTCATTATAGCATTGCATAATCTTTTGATTTAAATTTACCCGTTATACCAGGTTTCCGTGCCACCTCATTGTCCATATAGGCTGCCCACATGTACTATAGTGATGTGACTTTCTTACTATATCATTGTATTTTCAAAATTATTTTATTGTAGCATCTAGTAGTTATTATTAAACACTGTATTTTTAATTATAATATTTAGATATTTTACATGTTATTTAATAAATATATTAAATGAATTAAAAATTTCTAAATTATTTTTTAATATATCAATATTAATAAAACTAGTAGAACACAAATTATCTCGCTAATATTTTCAAAAAAATATGTGTTTTTTCAAAAAAGAAAAATAAGAATTGTTTCTTTTTTACCAAAAAATATTATCTTTTAAAGAATATATTATATTTGTTCAAAAACTTTACTTGACGTATAAATATATTAAATTAATTAGATTTTTTTGAATTATTTATTAATATAAAAATATTAAAAAATTATAGAACACAATTTATTTTGTTAACATTTTAGAGACAACTTTAAAAGATATGTATTTATTTGAACAACATAAAAAAAGAAGAGTTACATTTTTTACAAACAAAATAAATCTCGAAAATAATGTTTTATATTTATTTTATAAATATTTTACTCTAAAAATATTTAATTTGCA